CTTCATCAATATCTTCATCACTGTCTTCATTATCTTCATCGTTATCTTCATCGTTACCTTCATCAATATCTTCATCACTGTCTTCATTGTTCATCGTTACCTTCATCATTACCTTCATCAATATCTTCATCACTGTCTTCATTATCTTCATCGTTATCTTCATCGTTACCTTCATCAATATCTTCATCACTGTCTTCATTATCTTCATCGTTATCTTCATCATTATCTTCATCATTGTCTTCATCACTATCTTCGTCATTACCTTCATTGTTATCTTCATCATTTTCTTCATCATTATCTTTAGCGTTACCTTCATCAATATCTTCATCGCTGTCTTCATTATCTTCATCATTATCTTCATCGTTACCTTCATCAATATCTTCATCATTGTCTTCATTATCTTCATCGTTACCTTCATCGTTATCTTCATCGTTATCTTCATCAATATCTTCATCATTGTCTTCATTATCTTCATCGTTACCTTCATCGTTATCTTCATCGTTACCTTCATCGTTATCTTCATCGTTACCTTCATCAATATCTTCACTGTCTTCATTATCTTCATCGTTATCTTCATCATTACCTTCATCAATATCTTCATCACTGTCTTCATTGTTCATCGTTATCTTCATCGTTATCTTCATCGTTATCTTTAGCGTTACCTTCATGTTCATCCTCGTCTTTATCCTCATCCTCATAATTTCCTTCAGTCCTTATCTTCATCCTCATCTTCATCGTTATCTTTAACCTTAACCTTCTCCTCATCCTCCTCCTCATCCTCATCCTCCTCCTCACCCTTCTGTTCCTGCTGCCTTGCCATGAGAATTTTGGGATCCTGCTGGGAGCACCCCGAATCCCAAATCCCAACCCCCAAATCCCAAACCCCGAATCCCAAATCCCAAACCTCAAATCCCAAACCCCAAATCCAAAACCCCAAATCCCAAACCCCAAATCCCAAATCCCAAACCCCGAATCCCAAATCCCAACCCCCAAATCCCAAACCCCGAATCCCAAACCCCAAATCCCAAACCCTAAACCCCGAATCCCAAACCCTGAATCCCAACCCCAAAATCCCAAACCCCAAATCCCAAACCCCAAACCCCGAATCCCAAACCCCAAATCCCAAACCCCAAATCCCAAACCCTGAATATCGAATCCCGAATCCCAAACCCCAAATCCCGAATCCCAAACCCCAAACCCCTGAATCCCAAACCCCGAATCCCAAACCCCGAATCCCAAACCCCAAATCCCGAATCCCAAACCCCGAATCCCGAATCCCAAACCCCGAATCCCAAATCCCAAACCCCGAATCCCAAACCCTAAACCCCGAATCCCAAACCCCAAACCCCTGAATCCCAAACTCCAAATCCCCAACCCCAAATCCTGAATCCCAAACCCCAAATCCCAAACCCTGAATCCCAAACTCCAAATCCCAAACCCTGAATCCCAAACTCCAAATCCCCAACCCCAAATCCTGAATCCCAAACCCCAAATCCCGAATCCCCAAATCCCAAACCCCAAATCCCGAATCCCAGCCACTTTTTGCCCTAAAATGTGGCTTTTTTCCCCCTAAAATGTCACGTTTTTCCCCGCTTTTTCCCCTAAAATGTTGATTTTTTTTTCCCTAAAATGTCACTTTTTTCCCTAAAATGTCTTTTTTCCCCATTTTTCCCAAACCCGTGGCTTTTCGCCCCGTTCCAGGCGCTGAACCGC